TTCGCCGCCTCTAACCCCCCCCTCCTTTAACTCTGATGCCCCTCTTCTTGCAACCTTCCATTGATTGCAGTTTGTGGATGGCTTCTGGGTTCCTTCGGGGCTCTGAGGTTATGCTCATTGCAGCAACTCCATTAAAATTATATTTTCCCTTGCTACGGTTTTGGTTTCCTCGGTTATATATAAAAGGGGAGGGGGAGGCGAGGGAGCTGCACACATTTCCGGTCCAGATAATTCGGGACTCACAATCCGGCGTGTGCGAAAGAGTTTTGGTGGCCTCAGTTGGCTGTTTGCGCAATGTGTGTGTGTGTGTGTCGCCCCTCCCTTTCATTGCTCTCTTAAGGAGGCTTGCTCGTGACTCCCTGGATGTATGTAAATAGTCTGCAGAGGTCTAAAAAGACTTGGTTTTCAGCCAGAATATATATATAAAAAAACTTGCTGTGTTGCATGCCGCATCGTTCAGAGCAGCAGTTCATGTGTATTCCTATTTTCTAAAAGAAGAGACGTGCTGTAGAGGATTTGCATTTTGGGTCTCGGAACTGTTCTTTGTAAACGTTGGGGTGTCATGCTCTGATTCCTCAGTGCTGGGGAGTGTGGCGATCTTCACATGCACAGAGGCACTTTTGAAAGGACACATATTGCAGAACTAGGCATCTTCAGGGCTGGTTTTGAAAACGGATTCCTGGGCTGGGATGTGGTACGAATTAAGCCTTGATTCAGAGCCCTATTTTTACCAGGCTCTGATGACCCAGTTAAAGTCAAGCAGCTGATTAAAGTCAGAACAAGAGCTGTGAGGTGGGAGGGGATGAAGGAATGTCTTCAGGCTTTAAATCAGTGTGATTGTGCGCTGTGACCAGGAATGGCAGGTATTTAGGGTGATAGTTTCCTGGCAGAGCATACAGAACAAGTTTAAAATAATGACTAAAAGTCTATGGCAGTTGAGGTAGCTTCTGTCTTGTATCTGCTGTGGGCCCTTCCTTATGTTGTCTAACAGAGATTGCTAGTGGTAATGCATGGTGTGCATGTTATTTGCAGAAAATCACGCGAAGCTGGCTGTGCTTTTACCACTGCAGTGGGTTTGTTGGTGGCTTGAGGACTAAAATTCATGCTGTATCAAAATGTTTGGAAGCTTGGATTTGTTGCATATTTTATAGTTATTTTCTTCTCTCCATTTTACAGAACGTTCTATAGACTGTTTAAAAAAGTCTTTGAAGGCCATTTTATATTTGTATAATGCATGAACATTGAAATCGGAGTTGTGATATAGATGGAGTAATTTAAAGGAAGTTTGACTCTTTCAAATCTGTAAGAATTTTTTCCCTGGGTTTTAAACTACCAGTACTGGACAGTTCTTGAAGTAAGGCTTTGGGAGTGTTCTTGGGTTTTGTTTTGTTTTGTTGTTTTGTTTTTAAACTTTTTTTTTTGTTTTTTTTTTGTTTTTTTTAACATTATATACATTCTAGGCTTTCTGTGGTATCAAAGCCAATGGCTTTCAAATAGATTATGCAAATCTGGGAGATTGGGAGTAATTATATAGGAAGATCAAGGTATCTGCAGTTAAAATAAGTGTATGATCTTTACTGAACATGTACATTTTGATTCTAGCAATACTTGAATATAATATGCCATGTGATTGAGTTCTAGGCTGAGTGCAAAGATTGATTGAAATAAGTGGAATGATGAAGAGCTACTCTCAGGTGTTTTCACTTCAGCTAAAGATTAATTTTTAACAGCTTCTTCTTATTTTCTGTGAGTACCACTTTTTACTAATCTGTGTTTACTGTTCAAGTAGCACTGCTGATGAAATATTTATCCCTTAACACAAAGCAGCTGTATTGAGCCTGGTGACATTCCCAAAAGACTTTCAGAAAGATTAAGTGGAATGGTTTGGAGTCTATGCTGAGTTGACAGTTTCACAGTGTTCTGCCTTTATATTTACTGCAGTTTTTGGACTCTAATTTCTATTGTTTTGGGGTGTTTTTTTTTAATTGATAGTCTTCCTCTTCAAATTGGGACCCTGTAAATGCAAAGAAAAATCCATAAGAATGGTTGGTATAAATTGAATTTTGTAGTTTGACAGAATGGATATTCTCAAAACAATGGTGTTACCATTCTGAGACTTTTCTAAGTGTCATACAGTACTTTCTTTTCCCTCTTGTAACATGAACATATGGGATTTTGTTCTGTTTGCTGCTGTGCAGTGTAAGATATTGCTCAAGATGACCTGATTAGTATACTTGCGTTTTTTACTTCACATTACATGGAAGCTGTCTGTGCTTATTACATAGCCTTACTGGGTGTACACTATTAGATACTGGGTTTTGGACTCTGTAGAAAATCAGTACACACTCAAAAAGAATCACCATGTTTCCAAAGTTTACTTTAGAGGTGACAGTTTTTGGTTACGCAACTTCAGCGATTAAGTAATGCTGTAGTTTGTCTTGTAAACAGAAGCAGACTACTGGTGCTCAAATAGACTTGTAAAAGGCTATCTAGTAGAAATAGTCTTTCATATCCAGGAAGACTTTATGTTAGGTATCCAGGAAGACTTTATGTTAGGTACTGGAGAGTTCCCTTCTAAAAACTGAATTTTGTTGAAGAGGTGGTTGGTAATATTGTGAAATGCAAATAGGGCAGTTCACTATTTTGCGTGAGAAGTATGTAATCTTTGAAAACATGTATTTTAGTTTCCTTGTCTCAAAAATACAATGTGGTTTTGAATTTATTTGATAGGTAGACTTGCAGTATGGAAAAAATACATTCACAACTAATCAAACTAGTAGGCACTTTAAAGACAGACCTTTTTGACACATGTTGATTCATGAAGGAGGAACAGTAGAAACATACCAGAGTGCAGGATTAAACTTGACAGAAATCTTCCAATGTTTGTATTTTAGTATATGATCACAATGGTATGTTTTAATAATAAGTGCACCAAAGAAAACCACTGTGGCTAATTCAGATGTGGAAGTATTCTTCATGGTCATTTCATGGAAGGAAAAAGTTGGAAATCAATATTGTTGATATAGGAAACACCCGTGTTAGGGAGGGACATGAACTGTAGGAACTGATACGTTTGCATAGACTGACATTGCTGCTCCTTTGAAAAGTACACCTTGAAGAGTTGGTCCTGTGAGAGATTAGTTCTTTCAAGTGGATTTGGAAATCTTATATACCCTTGAGAAATCTCTGATGTTATCATCTACCTTTTGGGTGGCAGAATAAAATAATGATGTTCTTGAAAAGGTTATTATGGAGAGACTTTAACTTCAGCAAACATTTTAAATGCTATTAGACAAGTTGTTTCTGTCATAGATAATTCGAGCCAGTAGACTTCATAGGTTGTAACTCTTTGATAATTGTACCCCTGAAGTAAACCCTATTGAAATAAGGATTACTTTTTCTGAGGTAAGCCTGCATAGGATTGGATGTCGATAGTGATCCTAAACAAGTTTATTTGAAAGTAACTTCTGTTACAAAATGTATGTTGTGTGGATTGTAGTGCCCTTTAACACAACTTAAATTATTGGTCTTAATGTTTGTTTTTCTTTTGTAGAAGGGTTTGGAGAGGTAAAAATATTTGACTAAGACTCAGTGAATTCTTATCTGTCTTCTCACACCTATCCAGCTGTTCCTGGAAAGATAAGCACTTTGGAGGAGTGCTGGGAAATGCTATTGTCACTGTAATCCATATCCCACATATCTGTCCTGCTTTGTTTCTTCAACAATATTGGTTCATTTATATAGATGGCCATCAAAGAGAATCTCACTTATAACATTGTGGCTTCTTTGATTCCATTTGAGTTCTAAAATAGAATTCTAGTTCCCACTGGCTTTCCTTTTGGGCCTTTCCTATGGGTCGGTTGTCTTCAAGGCCTATGATGACAGCGGGTGTCACCAGTCAGGTTTTTTTTCCCCCTGAGTACTTTTATCTCTGCAGCTGCTACAACTGTGTATCTGACAAAAGAGATTTGATTTTTCTGCATGACAGATAACCTCTTCTAACCAGTTATTACCTATGTCTAGGATGAGGCTTGCGCCTAATTCTACAGCTTTCGTTGTCCTAATGTTCTCTAAATGATAGAATGGACACTTTTCTGTATAGTGCAAGGGTTTTGCGCTTGCTCCAATAATTCGGTAGCTTGAAACAGAATTCTGGAAAGTTTCTGGCTATGAGCAGTTCACTGGGTCATTAGGCTGGATTATTCACTAGAATCTGAAGGTCAGACAGCTTGTTGTCATTTTTTCATCCTTTGTCTGACCTCGATGAACCTTTGGTTGCAGCATGCTTCTCAAAATTCTTTTCCTACCATGTTTTGGAACACACATCCGCACCCACCCACCCCAATTATACTTGCCACCTTTCAGTTTTTAGCCATAGAAAGGGTTATGTGGTTTGTTCTTTTCAGTACTGGTGTTCATACAAGGTTATTATGATTGTTTTTATACATTGTCCCACAGTAGCAGAAAAGATACTTAAAAGTATTCTTTATAAACCTATAAACTAATGTGGCAGTTGTCTACTGTTGTCTTAATAGACATGGAGAGAATGTTTTAAAAGGATTGTATTTAATTTGACCTATTACTAAACAAATTAAAGTAAAACAAGTTAAGGAACCATATGTCATACTCTGATTGAATGCCACTATATGGAAATGACTACATAGTCTTAATGTCATGTGCCATGTTTTTTAAAAGCCATGAAAAAAATGTTAAACATGACCAGCCTTTAAGCGCTATGATGACTTACTGCAAAATACACATACAGTACTAAAATGAGGAAATAGGAGCCCTCAGTTTTATTTATTGCTCAAGTAGGATATGTGACATCAGAACTACGCAGGTAATTTCTTTTGCATACTGCACAAAAGATTAAGTTTAGAAGCATGTTTTTAAGAGCAATGGTTATCCATAAAGCTAGCTGACTCTATATGCTTTGTTTCTCCAAGAGGTTGCAAGTTCAATTCCCCACTGTGCCTCCTTGATATAGGTTTGATGATCCATAGAGTTCCTTCCAGCTCTGCAGTTCAGTGATGACGATGATTAGGAAATGCAGTAGTTTTGTGCATGGTGATAAGTTACAGTACTCGCATTGCAGATCCCTGACAAGAAAAAAAACACTGCCTTTCACCTGGAGCCACAGAATTTTACAAGACTTCAAAATTTGTCACTAATATGTTTTGTCATCCTGTTGAATAAACCTGAATCAATGAGAATGCAGAATTTTGCAATCTTTTCTTACAGCCCATTCAGCTTTTAATATACAAAATACTGTGGCTTATGTATGCATGGATTTTGTCATGCATATAAGTGGAATGGGCCAGTTTGGTTAATATAAGTCAGGTCTGTGGGAACCTTGGCAGATAAATAGTGAGTATTGTGCATAATGTCTGATTGCTCATGCTTGCAGCAGGAGTAGCTAAACAAACCATTTGTTTATCATGTCATCCAAATGCAGAGGCTTTCTCTTGTCTGGTTTGTTTCTTTTCCAACAGACTAGCGAGATAATGCAGGATTTGTTTTGAGATTGTACAAAAGCTAAAGTTCCCATACCTCCCTGGTTTCCCTTGCCATCCAAATTGGGCCATTATATGTAATCCTGCCCCACCCAGTCAGGTGCTATCACGGCATTACAGATGGAAGCAAACAACTAAGCAAACACTAGGAAACATGTAGCACTGGCTGAAATTCAGTAGTAAGTCAACTAGAGTTGTTGTTGTTTAGGCCCACTGAAACTGTGGAACTTATCAAGGAATTAATTCATAAAATCTCCACTGATTCAGTTGACTTGTTCTAGTTTTTTCTTACTACTGAATTTCATCTAACAACTATTAAATAGACAGAACCTGTTTATTACTTGAACAAAAGTTTGAACAATTACTGTATTCTAGTTGGAATTAGATAGTATTACAGTTGACTTACTTTTCTACTGCTCGCCAAATTGTGTATCAGTTATCCCACAAAGCTGCTCCTAGAAGAAAAAGTCTAAATATTAAATTGTGTGTGTAATTGATGATATCCTCGACATACTAAGAGAGTGTATGACTGTAGCATAATGTTCTTAAAATTGGTATAAGAACAGTAGAGAGAGAGAGAGAGAGAACTGAATGAATAAATGAAACATTTAGAATGGATTCTATTAAAGTTATTGCCATGCCCACTGTTTGCCTTTATTTATTACTTTATTTATTACTGTGCCGCTCATCATCACTTGCTATCTTTATCATTCCCATGAACCTATCCTCTATCACTTCCATGAACCTTTTTTTAAAAAAAAAACAGAACAAACTTATTTCATTGGTGGACCAGATGGATTTCAGTTTTGAGTCATCTAAAGAGAAGTTATGATGATAATTATAAGTAACCCGTTGGAATGCAAACTTGGGAATTTAAAATAAGAGGGAAAGTCAATTCTTGCAATAGAGATTCCAAAACCATGATGTAGTTGGATGCCTTAAAGACACTGAACTCTCTTAGTAGTACACAAACATAAAATAAAACAAAGCTAATTTAATGATGTATAGGAGTTCAACTTTTAAGCATTAATGTGCTGCTGTCAGAGTAGCAAACTGGAACGCTTAATTAGTCCTGAATGAGGAACAAACCAATTTCATTTTTTTTTTCTTAACAACTAGGCTTCCCCAAGTTAGGGTTAATTTTCTCTGTTCTGGCCAGTTCCTGTTAATGGTTTCTGCTAGATAGGACTTATTATCATCTCTGTCTCTTATACAGTTAGAAACTGGGAGTTTGTCCTTTCTAATCAATCTTTTTACAGGGGTTATCTGCAAGTATCTTGATTTTATTTGCACAAAATTATGCAATCAGATTTATATTTGGTTTTTTAGTTGGTTCTGCACAGGCATGATAAAATGAGTGGATTTCTAATTACTACCAGAAGTAGTGTTTGGGGTGTTTTTTACATGTAAGGAAAGGACCACACCACACCAGTATGATTCAAGTCAAAATGTGGAGTTTGATTTATGCTTGGTTGTTTCTTAGATCTTCCTCATACAATCAAGGATGAGCAAAGTGTGTCTCCCTGGATGTTGTTAGATTACAGTTTATAGCAACTTTAGCAAGTACGTACAGCCAATAGTGAGGAATCACGGAAGTTGCAGTTCCACTACATCTGGCAGTGGATTTATTGCTAGCATAAATGTTGGTAAATGCACCGAGACCAATAATTCAAACCACATGCAGAATTTCTAACTTTTCAATACATATTGATAACTAACCTGTGTCCAGGAAATTCTTTTTTAAAAAACATTTTTATTGGTGAAGTTGCATTTATGTCTGTTATTTACAGTATTTCTAGATTTCCTTGTCTGAAATGTGATGATCTGAGGGAATGGCTGTGCAATTTTCTTGAAATATTCACATATACTGTCTGCAACAAAATTAGCATACTATTATTTCAAGAGTACACCTAAATTGACATCATTGCCAGGTTTTAATTTGATTTTGGTCGCTTGCCTTGCAGCTAATTTGGTACATCTCTAGTGTATATTTGCCTTCCAGAAATGTAGGCTCTGTTGGGTAGGCTTTCTCCCTAATATTGTTCACAATGAACACGGTGTTGGATTTAACTTTAGTGTATTTGTGTAGGTATATGAAAAAAAAGTTCATTTCAAAGGGCATTGCTGGCAAAGAAGTAAAATTTTATCTGAAACTAGAGTATCTGTAACTCAACCGTGAGACTAATTGGGACCCTCTGCAATGGACAGAGGATACCTGGGATATGATGATGATGATGCCAATAATAATGATGACAATAATGCTACTGCTACTACTAATAATAATGGAGGAAAAAAGAATAAATGATTATAACAGTAGAAGCAGAGAAAAATTACTTAAGGCAGTGAAAATGGAGACTATTTTGAAAACAACAGAAACAAAGGCTCAATATAAGAAACAAGAATTTGAAAATAAACAGCTGGAAAAATGAACCACTACATGGATAATACCTGAGAAATATTGGTGGAAAGCAGGATCATAATTCAACATGGGCATAGCTAAAACTGGGACCCTTCAGAAAGAAACCGAAGGCTTGATTTTTGCTGCACAAGAAAAAGCACTCCAATCCAATGTGATGAAAGCTAAGATCCAAGGAATTAGTGCTAACAGCAAATGTCGACTCTGCCAATAAAAAGATGAAACTGTGTCAAACCTCATCTGTGAATGTCCGAAGATTGCACAAACAAATTGCAAAGAAAGACATGATAAAATGGCAAAGTTAGTGCACTGATCATTATGCAAAAAATATAATTTGCTGGCCTCCAAGAACCCATGGGAACATCAGGTAGAGAAGGTGTCAGAAAATGAGGAAGTCAAGATCTTGTGGGATTTCTGGATCCAAACCTTGAACATAACACACCAGACATAGTAGTAATAAAACAAAGAAATGTCCGGATCATTGACATTGCAATTCCAGGGAATGCCAGAGTTGAAAATAAAGAATTGGAAAAACTAACAAAGTACAAAGACCTGGCAATTGAAACGTCTCTGGAAGAAACACACTTTAGTGGTCCCCTTAGTCATTGGGGCTTGGGGAACAATATCAAAAAATTTTACCCAGTACTATAAGCGGTTGCAGATCTCAGAAATCACACCATCAGAGCTACGAAAAACCGGCAATATTAGGAACAACATACATACTGCGCCAATATTTAACAGATACTTAGGTTTTTGGTTAAGTCTTGTATCTGTTATATAACACCAGTCATTGTTTTTATAATTTTGACTGTGCCTGGTGTTTTTGAGTAGTAGTGGTGGTGGTGTATAGATGCCTGTTTCAAATACAAAGATGTACCTGTCTCCATTTCACAAGTGTTCCTGTTAGATCTGGGACTTCAGAAGTGCAATTCTAAATGGGGGGAAATCAGTTTTGTGATGCAAACTGCCAGGATTGTATAGGAAGGCAGTTACAGAGGGACAGTTTGTCAGTTCTTGTAGCCTTGGTAATGAAGCAGTCTTTATTCTCTACCATCTGAACTGCTGTGTGGGTTAGCAACTCAGAGATAGGCCTTCTTGACTGTGGCATCCCATTTGTTTACCCTCCCAAAGAAGGTTTGCCAGATATCTGTGCTTATGCTTTTTAGCATCATATTAATACAGTGGTGCCTCGCAAGACGAGCGTCCCGTTTAACGACGAAATTGCATTACGATGAAGTTTTTGCGACCGCAAAAGCGATCGCTAAACGATGTTTCCTATGGGGGAATTTCGCTTTGCGATGATCGGTTCCCTGCTTCGGGAATCGATTCTCGCAAAATGACGATTTTCGGCCAGCTGATCGGCGGTTTCAAAATGGCCGCCGGGTTAAAAAAAATGGCTCCCCGCTCTTTTCTGGGACGGATTCCTCACTGCACGAGCAGTGAAAATGACTGCGCTATGGAGGATCTTCACTGGACGGTGAGTTTCAAGCCCATAGGAACGCATTAATTGGGTTTTAATGCATTTCTATGGGCTTTTTAATTTCGCTTTATAATGTTTTCATTCTACAGCAATTTCACTGGAACGAATTAACATCGTAATGCGAGGCACCACTGTATATTTTTATTTCCCTTTGCTTTTAGCATGTGATTACTTTTTAATTCTTGACTATTTCATTGTTGTGTTGATTAATTATAGGTTATGTGCCATCTTTGTGAATTGGCCTGAAGCTGCACTTTAATGTATGCTTTCCACACTTAAACATTGAAATGTTTCATTAGAGGCTTCAAAGTTCATAAAATTTAATAATGAATATGTATATATTCAGATGTTCACATATCTTAAAATTGGACCTAACACGATGTTCTATTATTATGGCAGAGTGAAACCTTCCCCACCTGAAGGAGCGAAGTCAAATCCATCGAAGAGGCATCGAGACAGGCTAAATGCAGAGCTGGATCGTTTGGCTGGTCTTCTGCCATTCCCCCAGGATGTTATTGCCAAGCTGGATAAGCTGTCTGTACTTAGGCTCAGTGTTAGCTACCTGAGAGCCAAAAGTTTCTTTGATGGTAAGAAACATGAGTTTATTTGCTAGATTCATTATAAAGAGAACGTTCTATTAATATTTGCCTTCTGCTTTTAAAAGATGGTTAATAAACTGTAATTTGAGATATAATTGAAAGCATAAAAATCTGTTCCATTATTTTGGAAAATTACATGGATTATTTTACAATGTAACTGGTAATGAGTTTTCAGACTTTTGTCTGGAACAGTCCTCAAGTCTTTTTTGCCCTCTCATATGAATGTTTTACATGATGTGAGGGATAAAATACTTATTTCTGAAAACAAGCAGCTAAGAGTAAATACTTAGAACAGGAGTGGTGTGCAGATGCTGAACATTTACTGAGAAACCTAGGCCAAAATCCAGTTGCTTAACATAGTAAATCACACTAGAATAGGCCCACTGAATCGGTGGGGATTTGATAAGTCAGCTTCTGCATAAATTCCATTGATTAAAATGGGCCTAATTTAACTGCAACTTACTGTGCTATGTAGAGTTGATCCATCAATTCTCCATTGATTCACTGGGCCTACTGTTGTTTCATTTACTATGCTAACCAACAGGATTTGGGCTACTTTCAAAGATTGGATAAAGGCTTTGTTTTATCTGTGGTTATTTACAGAAAGCAGAACTACCAAATGTGGTAAACAAAGCAGATTGACTTTAGTTGGCAGATGGACTACTTTGTGCAGTATTACCCAGTTGGTTTTTAACATGTAACACAAACATGTAAATGTGTAAAAATGTCTTAAATTATTAGAGGTTTTTGTTGAAGATTTTCTTACAGTGTCTGGAAAAGAAATAGATCACTTATTTCTCCAGAGATTTTAAAAGCTAGAGTCAAAAACAAATTTATGTTCGTGTTTAACTGAGTAAAAGGAGCACATCAGTTCATAGAATCAGTTCATAGGATTTTGCTTGAGTTTGGATGCCTTGTTTAGTGTACATACAAGCATGTGAACTCTGGAATAACAGTGGTACCTCGCTAGACGATGACCTCGTAAAACGAAAAATCCGCATGATGATGAGGTTTTGCGATCACTATAGCAATTCGCAAAACAGTGATTCCAATGGGCGATTTTCGCTGGACAGTGTTTGGGTCCCTGCTTCACATACCGATTTCCACAAGACGATTTTTGCCACTGATCGGCGCTTCGCAAAAGGGGTGTTTTCGGGACCGATGCTTCACAGGGCAGCCATTTTAACAGCTGATTGTCGCTTCGCAAAATGGCTTCCCTATGGGCGATCGTTGCAAAACGACGACGATTTTCACCCATTGGAACACATTAAACGGGTTTCAATGCATTCCAATGGGGAAATGGTTTTCACAAGATGATGTTTTCACTAAACAGCGATTTCTATGGAACGGATTATCGTCGTCATGTGGGGCTCCACTGTACAGTAGTACCTTGGTTTACAAAATTAATCATCCAGGACGTGACGTAATGCAGAAATTACATAAACCAGAATGCGGATTGCAGTAGAAATGGTGCTAGAAACCTCTAGGTGCGATACATCCTTTTTGTACAGCGAAAAAGCCCTTTAAAAAACATAAACTGAGGCATTATTTCTTATGGATTTCAGCTCGTAAACCAAAAATTATGTAAACCAAGGTACGCTTGTACTATCTTAAAGTATACCAGATGGCCAGTGTAGTTTGTAGTTAAAGTTGCATAGACCAATGGAATGGTGCAGCCCAAATGGATACTTTAATTTTCCTTTAAAACTGATCTCTTAGAGTTGCTCTGTGAGAAAGCAAAAACAATACAGTATGCTTTTGCTTCTCTTCCAGTAGCAATACTGGAGTGTTGTGTTCATCATATCGTCCAGTTTTTTGCGTTGTTACTTTGCTTTCACATTGTGAACACTGTTATACATTGCAAGGCCTCAAGTCCTACGTAATTAATCACGCAGGTCTGTGCATGCCCGCTCACTGAAGTTCCACTGATTTCAGCAGGGCTTACTTCCAGGTGAAGGATTGTAGCATAGTGTTAGTGTGTTTCAAACTGATTGAACATATTGAGAATTGATAAGTGAACTCCAGTGCTTCAAAAATTCCAAAATTTTATGTTTCTGTTTAAAAAATGGAAGAAAACATATATTTAAAAAGGAAAAATGTGTAAATCTGTTTTTTGTGCACTGAAGTAAAATGTCTAGTTAATTCAGTTAAATGAACATTTTATTTAATGTATGTTCAGGCATTTTACTGTTAACATTGGCTTTTAAAAAACAAGGTCTATTAATTCATTTATTACATGAACATGCCAGGATCTGCAAATGGTGATGAAAGTCATGATTGGGGGTGGGTTTTTAAAAGTTGTGCACCTGTTACAATTTTAGACAATAAATATAGGATACCGATTTGCTGTGTATGCTATAATATTCTAAAATGTAGCATTGTCAATGTATATATGTCCCTTAAGTGCAGAATTCTGCAAACTCATTTGAAAAACATGATAAATCTTTAGCTACCTTGGGATTTCTTGATTGAGATGTAAGTTGGAAAAATAACCATTGATGCTTATCAGCATTGCCTTGGAGCAAACGCAATCAAATGAATCCATGTCACGTACTGTAGAACAGTTGCATTATTTTAGTTGGTCTTTGTGAGTTGCAGTTCCTTATAATTATAGCTTGTCTTCACCAGTGAGAAAGAAGGCACACAGCAAGACCCATGGGTCTTCAAACTCTAGCTGTTGGTTCTTTAGAAACATTAATCTGAAGTAATGTAACATAATGTAGTTATGAGGAGTGGGAGGAAAGTGCTCCAGTCTTCTTTTGCAACTGAAACAATGTACAGCTTTACAACTGGAGGGGGGAACCTTTAAAACATTGTAGCTGTTTCCTTTACAACTGAAGAATTTAACTCTGAAATGTCACCAGAATTTGAAGTAACTAGTAGAATGTGAGGGAGTCGTGGTTTGGAAGAATAAGAAAAGAAATCTCCCAAAGGGTTTCAGTACAATGATGTATTCAGATGCCACTTCTTTTCATTTGTGGCATGCTGTACTTTAAAGTCTCAGCATGCACTTTGCATACCTGCAAAGTCTGCAGTGCCTGTTGTAGGCAAGGAAAAATCTACTGGTCTAGGAATGTCTGTGAGCTGACCTCCTTGCTTTGGGCATCTGAACAAAGCCAGGACTGTGTAACATGTTGCCTTCTGAGCACCTCCTCACCCCATGCAGATGTGACTCCAACCATTTTCAGCATGTGTTGCTTCTGTAGCCTGTACTTCAGTGACAGCTTCCTTACCCCCTAGGCAACCAGAGAGGTTAGGAAGGTATGCACTAGGCTGGCATGTATTCTCCTCCTTTGCTTATTTTCCTTCTCCTTATGGCTAATCATAATGTTGTATAAGAGAATAAACAGGAGAATGAGTGAGAGGAAGGAGGAAACCAGGTCTTTGCAGTGTGTAGGCTCTAGTGAAAAAACATGTACTGCATTGTTGAATTGTAAAATATTTACTAAGTGTGAAATTGAATATTGTGTTCAATATTCAGTTTTGTGGATTTGATTTGTAGACGCTTGTTAACATTTTGCTGGAGTGAAGGGAAATGCTAAATGAATAACAGGATACAAATGAGGGGTGTGTGAATTCCTGAGGAAAGTAAAATATAAACGTGAAATCATATGATCACATTTGAAAGGAAACCCATTTCTGTGGTAACAATAGGTTTCCCATGAAAGAAAACATTTGCATTTTTCCAGGTTTAAATAATCCAGTCAGGAAGTTGGGATAGTCAAACATAGCAACAGACTTAGCCCAGAAAATCTGATTATAAGATGTGTAAAAATTCAAAGTAATGTGGATTATAAATTAGCCGTTTTTAAATATGGTGTATCATATGCAAGACATGGTAGAATCAATGTAGTGATTCTTCAGTAACTCTTAATAAGCAGTTCAGTAAAGCAGAATTGCATACTGGAGAGATACTAGTTTTCCATCTCTGCTATATAGAGAGATTAAGCTTTACTTTTTCCTGTATGCCTCTATGCTTAATTACTCTTCCTTACAAAGAAGGGGAAGAAAAATTATTTTCAGAATACAGTTTAAATAAATGTTTAAAATTTAACATGTATCAAAAAGCCATATTACTGCCAGGAAATAGTAGCTACTTGAAATGACTCGTGATGAAAGTAAAAGAGGTAAGCACAGAAGTAGAACTGTAGTTGAACATGAAGAAATGAAAATCTTGACTACGGAAGAACTGCATAGCTTTGATGTTGACAATGAAGAAAATGAAATTGTTAAAGATTTTGTATGTCCTTGTTTTAGTCATCAATCCACCCTACACTTGATCTTAGTCAAAAGGCTGAGAAACAATTGTGACATACTGAGGTATATTCTGTCAACGAGTTATAGTGGATAATGTGGCAGCCATTTTGAACCAAATAGCAAGAAGCCACAGAATTAGACATAACAAATTTGTAGATCCAGCTACAGTAATTAATATTTAATAGTTTGTTTTTTTTTCTTGTATATTTTTATGTATGCCAATAAAGGCTTTGACTGACTGACTAGACATCAAGTCAATTTGACTTGGAAGGGCAGGTATGAATGAAATACAGATCATCAAGTATAGTATAAGCATGTTTCACTAGAAAATAAAGCCAAGATTGTTCATGCTGTTCTATTCCTAGTAGGTGTGCACAGATGAGAAAACTAAACAGTGAAGAAGATCTTTCTGGATAGCATGGACCACCAGATAAACACATGGATCCTAGATGAACTTTCTCTAGATGCAAAGATGACCAAAATGAGATTATGTACTTTGGACAAATAATGAGAAAACATGAATCACTGGAAAAGATAATGTTAGGAAAGTCTGAAGGTGGCAGAAAAAGAGAAAGATGAAAAAAAAGGATGAATCAATCCAGTTAGGGAAACCATGGGTTTAAATTTATAAGAACTGAACAGGGTTGTTTTTTAAAAGTTGGGAGGTTATTTATAGGGCCACCATAAATTAGATATGACTTCGTGGAACATAATCATAGAAAGAGCTGGTG